TGGCTGGCGCCTTAGCCACTTGAGCCACAGGTGCCGAACCATTTCTTGTTGCTTTTGATTAATACCCAATATAGGTTAGGTGATGCTACTATGTTGTTTAGTTACTCTCAACATGTTATTTTTCATTGTATTAATGATAATTCATATTTTGTACTGTTAAATACTTATGTGTGCCGCACGCCTGTAATCCCAGCACTTGGGAGGCCAAGGTGGGTGGATTGCCTGAGCTCACAGGTTCAAGACCAGCCTGAGACAGAGTGAGATCTTGTCTCTAAAAACAGCTAGGCGTGACAGGCACCTATAGTCCCGGCTACTTGGGAGGCTGAGACTCACTTGAACCCAGGAGTTTAGAGTTGCTGTGAGCTATGACGCCACCACACTGTACCAAGGGTGACAAAGTGAGACTCTGTCTCAAAAATAAAACTTATGGGGCAGTGCCTGTGGCTCAGTGAGTAAGGCGCTGGCCCCATATACCAAGGGTGGCAGGTTCAAACCTGGCCCCAGCTAAACTGCAAAGGAAGCAAAGAAAAAATAGCCAGCCACTGTGGCAGGCGCCTGTGGTCTCAGCTACTGAGGAGGGTAAGACAAGAGAATCACCTAAGCCCAAGAGCTGGAGGTTGCTGTGAGCTGTGATGCCACAGTACTCTACCAAGGGCGACAAAGTGAGACTCTGTCTTAAAAAAAAAAAAGAACTTATGTGTGAATGACTGCTTATTGATAATGTAAGTTCAGAGTCAGGAATAGTGATGTCAAACAACCTGACTGTCCACATGGGTGACGGAGATAGCGATATAATGTTCAATGTACACAAACTTTGCACACTGATGGTTCAATGTACACAAACTTTGTTTCATGCACAAAATTATTAAAAATATTGTATAAAATTACAGGCTATGTATATAAAGTACATATGAAACACATGAATTTCATGCTTAGACTTGATCTCATCCTTAAGAAATCTCATTATATATATGAAAATATTCTAAAATTTAAAAAAATCCAAAATTCAAAATACTTTTGGTCCCAACCATTTTGGATAAGAGATACTCAACCTGTATAGGCAACATGTTGGTAATACGACATGAAACCATTAACTATGACCCAAGTTCCAAATGCATTCCAAAAACTGAGCCTAGAGGAGAGCAATGGAAAATTCCAAATTAAGCACAGTATGGTGGTATGAAAATGGATTCTGGAGCTAAACCACCTGGGTTCCAATCCACACCCTACCACTTACTAGATGTGTGACCTTGAGAAAGTTTCTATGCCTCAGTTTCCTCATCTGTAAAATGGGGATAAATGGCAATACCTATCTCAGAGATATTGTGAAGATTGAGTCAATACATACAAACAATGGCATAAAAAGCACTGTTTGCTTGAACCATTATTATAACTAAAAGGAAGAGACAACCAGGACAAACTACAGATCACCACCACCTCTCCACTAACAAGCACTGTCAGAGAAAGCTTCTTTCCAGAGTTGGGTCATATCAGGACAGTTCGGTCAGTCTTAATGGTGAAGGTTAAAGGTGTGAGCAATGTGCTCATGATTCCCCCAAAGATTCAGGGAGGCTCACCAGAAATGGGGCCAAGCGATAAGATACTACAAGTGGAATGAACTTCCTCTGAGTCTGATTTAAATACTCAACTGGGAACAGCAGTGAAAGACAAAGGACAGTGGCAAGAGCTATGGGCCCTCCTGATGTGGAACACACAGCAGTTTCCCTTTTCTTCTTTATGTCACTCTCTAGGTAGCATGGTAACAAATCATTTTTTTTCTCTTAAGGATTTTTCAAAAAGCTGTATACACTCAGATGGTCACTGTATTATTTATGGCATCATCTAATATCCCGGAGGATACGGTATGCCTTTCATCCTTTCCAGAATCTCCTCTCTCCTACACAGGACCAAATAACTTACTTTATTTCCCTGGAACTAACCAATTTCCCTCACCCTAGGTAGTCGACAGTTTTATTCAACAAACTGCATTCTCATACAATCCTCTACAAAGGAACAAGGGATAAAAGATAAAGGGAAAGGAGACGGTTAACTTAGGGATTTGGTATCCAGATGATTAAGGAACTCTGAAGTTTGTATGGGACTGGTACAGCGGGAGTTAAGGTATTTCCGCTGTGGGTGATTAAGACTGTTAATACAATACACTGTTCTACATACTGGGGAGACTTGCCTGCATTCTACCTAATCAGGCACGAGTCCTTTAATAAAAACACATCAGCGAGCACAGGGGGCGGGGCTGAGAGCAGCAACTAAGAGGCTCCAGGGGTCCAGCTCACCTTTCACAAGCCAGGTGGCAGTGGCAGCTGAAACAGAGGCTTTTGCATTCCCCACTCCTAGGCCCAACAAGACTGCTTGGGTGGCCAGGGAGCCCGAGAGGCTGGAAGCAAAGGCCTGGAGAAGAAAGAGGTGGGGTGAGGAGTGGGCACAGGAGCATAGAGATCTACATTCTATTATCGGCTCTCCTTATTTGGTCCTTGACGTGTCGGAGCCCCGCTCCGGGTCTCAGTGTCCCGTCTATAAATGGAAGGGTGAAGTAGCCTACAGGGCCCCTTACCCCGGCCTTATGCCACCCCCTGCTCCAGACGCCTGAGCTGACCTGCACGGAATCCCATAGCTGGTAAGGCAGATAGTCCGGGCTGACGCTATCAGGGAAGCCCTGCGGCAGGAACACTGCCTGGAGACCTGAGAGAGGTGGCGAGGCGGCTCCGGGAGCCCCCACGCCGCCCTCATCTCGTCCTTCGGGTTTCACCGTGAAGGCCCCCGAGAACCCCCACCAGCGCCAGCCCCGGGCGTCCCACTGCAGGCTCCCGTCAGCGGCGGCGTGGCACCGCCGTGCTGCCCCGGAGCCGAACTGCTCCGAGCAGAGCGGGGCCACCAGACTCGCGCTGTCAGCCATCCCAAACGTCTGCGTTAGAGCCAGGGTCGATGACAAACGTGGCTCTGCTACACTTCCGGCTTGGCTACGGCGGCTGCAGAGGAGCAACCTTCCTTCGGGAAAGGGCCCCTGGCCTCTGTGTCTCCTTTCTTTCTTTAAAACTCCGAGGATCCCATTCTCTGGCTTCCCAGACCGGTCCTGGACACCTCAGCACTGGGTCTGGCCCTTTTTCCTTGTAGCATTGTGTAGTGGCAGGCGGAGTGGGGGGCTCTTTGGCCACCAAGTCCCTGAGGCACTTGAATTCCTTGTGACCCGCAACTGACAGTAATGGGGAGAAGGAAAGAGGGCCACTCAAGGGAAAGTTATGTTTAACACCTGGTTGGGCCGCAGAAGTTTTAGCTGTGTGACTTTGAGCAAGTCAGTGCTCCTCCTAGGACCCCAGATGCCTTCTTTGCTGTGAGGCTGGAAACTATATTTTTACTCCATATTTTATTCCCAGGACTACCTAACCTGTAGTAGGTGCTCAGAAATATGAAAGAATGAATGCATGCATGATGAGAGGAGAAATTAGACTAGGTAAGACCCTACTAAGCTGTCCAGTTTTGTTTGTTTTTCTTCTGAGCAACTCTGGCTTGACTAGAAGTTCTGTCTTTCAGCCTTCTCCAAGATTGGAGGAATATTATTCCTGAAAGCATCCTAAAGAATCGGAGGAATGGAAAAAAATCTAGGAATTGCAATAATGTCAGAAAACAAGAAAAACAGGCAGGAAGTTTTGTTGTGTGTTTATTGGGGGAGAAGGTCCATGAAATTGGAGCAGGAAGAGTTTAAGGACAAAATGTTTCTCTCCTTCCCAACTCACCTCTTTTTTTCTCTTTCCTTTTCTCATTTTCTCCTTCCCATCTAGTGCAATGTATTCATTCGAAAGTAGAAATTTCCCCAAAGCATCCTCTTTTTATTTGAAAATAAAACATTCCAGTATCTTAGCCTGGCATTCTTGGATCCCCACAGTTTGATTCTAACTGAAACTCTTTACCTTAAACTTCTGATTGTCCCAAACTATGACTTTCCTCTTCCTGGTGGATTTCAGCCAGTAAGGCCTTTCTGCCCCACTTCACCTTACCTGACATACAGGCAGAATGTCCCTGAGGCTGAAATAAACTTGAACACTTTTTTTTTTTAAATTTTGTGTTTCAAAACACAGATGGCATAGTCATTTAACATTTCTTTTTTTTTTCCACTTAACATTTCTGTAATGTTTTCTATATTCAAGTACTGGTTTGAAAAGAGGACAAAAAAACAAAATTTGAACATTACTTTTAAAAAGTGACTGAAACGTGTATTTGAAAAACTTTTTTTTTTTTGATCGGTAGAGTGCTGTGCTGTCACAGCTCACAGCAACCTCCAACTCCTTGGGCTTAGGCGATTCTCTTGCCTCAGCCTCCCAAGTAGCTGGGACTACAGGCAGACTACAAGCACCCACTGTAATGCCTGGCTATTTTTTTTTGTTGCAGTTTAGTCGGGGCTCTGTTTGAACCCGCCATCGGTATATGGAGCCGGCGCCTTACGCACTGAGCCACAGGCACTGCCCAACATTTCAGAAACCTTGTGAATAACATCAAACTGAGCGTGTAAGTATGCCTAGTAAAGAAGCAGTTAGAATTCTATAGAGTTAATCACAGTGTACTTTTGGGTGGACGGAAGTTAGTTAATCAGGGTTTAGGTAGAGGATAGATACTAGATTGCGCAGAAGAGGATAATTCAGGTAAAGACAAAGCTGCCAATGGGATAAAGGGATTGGAAAGCTTATGTTTATTAGATTGAAAGCTAGGATTACAATTCAGAATAACCTGGTAAATTAGGTTTACCATTTATATTTTTTAAATTTTATTTCCCAGAATTTAGGTCAAAAAAGAAACAGGAAAGGGGAAAAATAACTTGCACAAGAAATAAAAGAACAGGGCGGCACCTGTGGCTCAAAGGAGTAGGGCGCTGGTCCCATATACTGGAGGTGGTATGGTGGGTTCAAACCCGGTCCAGCCAAAAGCTGCAAGAAAAAAGAAAAGAAAAAAGAAAGTCCACTGGAGTTTGAAGTAAGTGTATTCTGAATTGAGTTGGAAATGAAACACTAGAGTTAAAACAACAAACCATGCAAGAATACTAACAGGTTCTTTTTCCTTTCATAAGTAAATAGTACACAATTAAAACTATAAGTCTTATGTATAAATAAATGCTAAATATAACAAAAGACATAGCTTATGTTTTCTCCATGTACATTATAAGTTTTTTTTCCATCTAATTTTTTTTCCAAGTAGCCCTATGACATAAATTATCATTCCATCCACTGCTATTACCAGGAATGAAGACTGTTTTGTCTTCTTTTGAAAAGTTAAGTTTAAAGAACTCTGTTATTTTGTTTTCAGCTGAAAAGCCATAGTGACTTCTTTCAAAACCACTGAGTGTGTTTGCCAATAATTTGCCTTTGTCTTTCTTCAACATACAAGTGTTGATATCTTCTCTGGGCGCACTGAGACAGGGACAAAAATAGACATGGGTCTTGATCTTTTGAAATGTATAGCTTAGAGGGTATTATTCAAATAATCATACAAATAAATGCAAAGTTGGAACTGTTTGAATTTCTGGAGCGAGGTACTTGATATTTAGTATGAAGGTTTTTATTTTTTTAAATTATTTTTTAAATTGTTGACTCATTCAAATTTCATCTCAATAATATGAGTTTTTATTCATTGTTTTATTCACTTAAACATTTATTTAGCACCTCCAATCCTTTTGACACTCTGCCAGATATGAGGAATTTACAAGGCAGGTACGACTCAGTACCATTGCTTTAATGACTCTCAGTCTGGTATGGAGACTGCAGGTCTAACAAGGAGTAAAAGAGATAAAAGTTGCATAAAATAATTTGGAGCATAGAGACAGTGCGCTTAGTTAAGACTTTGTTTGAGAGAGGGCTAGAAAAGACTGTAGGAGGTGAGGCATGAAGGAATACAGTTGACTGAACGTGACACCAGAAGGGAAGACAGGTTTTTAAGAAGGAGAATTAAGGAAATCACTGGGATAAAGGGAAACTTTTTTGAGGACGTGTGTATTTAGCTGAGATGTCGAGTAAGAGTTAACTTGATCAAGATGAGGAAAAGAATTTTCTGGAAAGAAGAAACAGCATGAATAAAGGACTTGATTTAACAAAGGTCAGTGTGGCAGCAGTCCAGCAAGAGGGTGGATGAATTAGGTAGGGGCCAAACTGCAGAACACTGTAGGCCATACGTTCCTTTATTCTTAGCTTTAATATTTAAACTTAAACTAATATTCTTTATTATTATTATTATCATCATTATTATTATTATGTTCAGAGGGGAAAATGTATATCTTTCCAATGGGTTGTGTTATAAGAGTTTATTTCAGCTTAAAACTTGTATTGCTTTTCCTCATAGAATCATGATTACAGGCTGGGCGCCTGCGGCTCAAGTGGCTAAGGCTCCAGCCACATATACCTAAGGTGGTGAGTTCAAATCCAGCCTGGGCCCGCCAAACAACAATGATGGCTGCATCCAAAAAATAGCCAGGCATTGTGGCGGGCGCCTGTGGTCCTAGCTACTTGGGAGGCAGAGGCAGGAGACTTGCTTGAGCCCAGGAGTTGGAGGTTGCTGTGAGCTGTAATGTAATAGCACTCTACCCAGAGGGGCAGCTTGAGGCTCTATCTCAAAAAAAAAAAAAGAATCATGATTACAGTATCAGGTCTCATTAAAAAACCCTTTGAATCAGATGATAACATTGGAAACTAGTGAACAGAACTTAGTGTCCTAAACATAACCAGGTAGGAGCTGGAAAAGAAGGGGATTAAAATGATGTCTATCTGTATTTAAAGAGAACATACTAGGTATGATTGACTAAACTGTGAATGGAGAAGAAAAACAAAAAGCCTATTGTAAGTGGACCAGGCTGTTATGGGAAATCAAAACAGATGATGGGGACAGCGCCTGTGGCTCAAGGAGTAGAGTGCCAGCCCCATATACTAGAGGTGGTGGGTTCAAACCCGACCCCGCCAAAAAAAGAACCAAAAAAATGGCAAAACAAAAACAAAACAGATGATGGTAAGGGGCACATTCAGTTGGACAACTGGAGAAGTCCCTCAGCTGGCACTTGGATATAGGACAGTGTGATACTTGGAGCAAATTAAGGTGGAAGGAGAATAGAGGGAATTTCATACACAAATTTTACGAATCTAGAGCATATTTGTATCAGTTATCACAATATAAAATTTTTAAAAATTTTGTTATGTATTGGTAAGAAATGTAGAATTCCAAAATGCCTGCAGTGCAAAAACCAATTTTATTTTAGTAATGTTAACAGTAATTCATACAGTTAGAAGTGATAATAAATTACTGAATTACATTCACCTTGTCAAGCCATGATGTTAGCCTTGGATTGTGTGCTGGTAGCTCTCTTAGAGTAGTACTTTAAAGACAAACTTGAAGAAATTTGATTTTTAATTTTTACTTTCCATTTAACTTATAGAATTATGAATAATTATCTTAATTTTAAAAAATGTTTGACTCATGGTAGAGTGAAAAATAGAAGGGTTACAAACATTATATTTAAAATGTTAGCTTCCGTGAGTGTTTTGAATTGTGATGCAAACTTCTAAGAAATATTCCAGCAGAGGGCCTTGCCTTGAATGCAGGTTCTGCCTAGGGTTATTGTGCCTATGATATCTTGGGCAAGTTGCTTATCTCTCTGTCCTTCAGTTTCTTCATCTGCAAAATGGAAATAATACTTGATCCCACATAGGGTTGGGATCAAGATTAAATGAGTCATGTGTAAAGCTCTTAAAATACGTTTGGTACATAGCACATACTAGTTAAGTGTTGGTCATTATTTGGAGATAATATCAAGGGTTTAAATGTGAGGCCCTTTGCCTCCACTCCATGTAGGAGGCAGATAGACCTCATGACTAGTGTCACTATCTAATTTATTGTCCAGACCAGGACTTTTGAGAGAGTCATTAAAGAAAGTGCTA